TGGCCTGTTTCAGCCACTTGGCCGTGCCGGCTTGAACCCCAAAGCTGACTCTAACCGACATGCAGAGAGTGTTGGAGTCCGGGACACTATAGGAGTGTCAGAAATTGAGAACTTCTGTTGAAACTGCAAACCGTCAACCCGCAAAAGAGCCTAGATGTGGGAAACACACGAAGCGTCAGCTGCCAAACGGACATGTTGCTTAGGATGTCAGCAGTGGGAGGATCCCATGTCAGCCTTTGGCACAATCGCAGCTGATGGTTCACATACGGGGTTCTTGCTGAGGAATTTACTTTAAGTTACCATAATCGGAATCCACTGTAAATAAGATGGTTTCCTTATGGTTCATACCAAGGGTCCAAGTATATAGCTAAGAATCATGTACTCTCCGAGATATGAACCTACATAATTACAATATATCCTAATCCCAAGTACCTTATTATTGGGTTGGGGATGCAGTTGCTGGGTAGTTCCGTAAACTAGTTGTCCCAGATTGAATCAAGCTGGTGGAACAATCACCCCAACAGCTTACAAAGTAAGAGTTCCAGAAAGAGAGACAATCAGAAAAGCTGCGCCCCCGCCGCTATTCCGAGACTTCAATACAGCTCGCCTATGAAATAAACATATTGTTGGGCTACGAGGAATCACGCTCGCGGACCCTGACCATAGCACGACCTCACTTCACTTCTGCTGATCTTTGCAGCATGTCCTGCAGCCACTGCTCACCATCCTGCAGCAACCAAGTCTTCAGGGGGTAAGACCTATAGACGCTTTCAATCCAAGCTTCAAACTACTGGCCGTTCTTTGCAGATTTGTGCGCGCCGTTGTGTTGAAGCTCTGCACAAACACTTGCACCGCCGCGGAATGGTTCTCCTGAAGCTGCAACTCCAGAAATATGACACCCAATGCTCACCCGTAATCCCAAAAAGGAACTACTATGGAGCCTGTGGGCAACACACAGCGCCAACAAATCCCCGCAATGTCTAACTGCGAAATACAGATAGTCTCCGACAGTGCCTCAGGCATGATCAAGTTGCACTTCCTGAGCTCACAGGTGTGTCGAATCCCTAAACATCCAGTTACTTAACTAGTAGGTTACTAACCATATCTTATAACTGGAGCTCTAGGGGATCATGCCGAAACTAGCTTCGACTTTCCCGTTTGGCGATGACCTCAGCAACAGAAAATGTCAATGAATGTGCTGAGCCCTATATCTCAAACCCAACCTCGCACTTGCAGGGTCGAGGGATTTGGTAAGCAGTTACATTATGGAGATAAACGTACCGGTGAGGGCATCCGAACCGGGATTCGGAATCTTGTCGCTGCATAAGACAACAACTTACTAAATCCTCCCACGCTCCAAGTGGACGCTGAAACCCAGAACCTAAACCCCAGGCCCTACGCCCTACACCTTAAAGCCCTGAACATCCCACCCCCCCGAACAAAACACTTAAACCTCCAAGCCCGAAATGGTAGTTTCCGAAAACTAGGAGTACCTTATTTTTGAGGCCTTATAATAAGGATCCTACTATTTAAGGTATCATATCAGGGTCCCTTATTTTCGGAAAACCCCGAATCCTAAATCCAACTCATTTACCGGGGCTCACATAGAGGTCGCCCCGCTCTGTGGGATCTCCCCTATGGGGAAAGCCCTCACCACGGATGCGGAGGATTGCCTGAGCTACGTTTAGGGTTTCGGGTTTAGGTCTGAGGATGTATGGTTTAAGATTTTAAAATGTGTTTAGGGTTCAGGGTTTAGGATTCAAAGGTCTAAGGGCGTAAAGATTTAGTATTTAGGCTTTAGGGGCTTGGGGTGTAGGGTTTTTGGCATAGGTTTAGGGGTTTAGGGCTTTGGGGGTTTAGGACTTAGAGTTTAGGGCTTGGGATTTAGGCACATGCTTGCGGCATAGGGTTTAGGGGTTTAGGGATTTGGGTGTTCAGGGTTTATATTCTGGGGTTTGGGATTTAGGGCACGTTCTGCGGGCTTTAGAGGGTCTGGAAAGGCTGCCAGCAGGATACAAAGAGGGATCTTGCAAGGGTCTTGTTGACATCCTTAAAAGGGTTGTTTCTAGGGTTTTCCAAGACAGCCATGAAGATATATACATATATATATATATACACACATGTATATGTATATGTATATGTGTATAACGAGTGCTCGGCGATTTCCGAGTTTTCGTGGGGCTGTATTGCGAAGATATTCTGAGGGGAGCTTCAGAACTTGTTGGAGACTCCATTTAGAACAACGAGGATCCCGCAATTCAGTGATCGCGCCTGCATTCTCAGCTGTGATTTGAACATAGGTCTCAAGCAGAAGACACCTTGGCCTGAAACCGTCATAACAGTGGCTCTCTCTGTGTGTGTGTGTCCAGAGAGCAACCCTTAAGCCGTGAATGCAACAGTCCATGCTAAAGCAAACTTTAAACTTTGGTGGCACAGCCTCGAGCCTCCGAGCCATAGAGGGCTAAAAGACTTCCTCTGAACCCGCTTAACCCCGGATTATGTTAAACCCTGCACTGCGACACACTGAGCCATAAACCCAGAAATGAAACTTGCCCGAAACGCTTCATCCTATGAGTGTTGAAGGGATCTTTGCTCAACAAGGCACGGATGGCTTCGTGACCTGGCGCTCGTCGAAGGGTTCAACGCTTGCACCAATATGTTAGCTACTGCCAGTATCTGGGACACTTGGGTGTGGGTTTAGGGCTTTTTCCCCATCGTCGGGTCCCATTTGTACAAAATTTCTATGTCTCTCCTTTGTAAGGCCTTACCATGTTTCGTAGCTCAGCAACTCATTTCTTGTAGAAGCATCCATATGTCACTTCCTTAAAGCCGGGGGTTTTGGATTCTTTAGAAGGGTTTGCTCCGGAGTGTGATGAAGCTCTGATCTGCGATACAGTGTTGCATGTCAGACAAGCAGACTGCTGACTATTGCACCGAAGCCTAAATGGTTAGGGTCTACCTAGATTAACCTATGTACCTGAACAAGGATATGCGCCTATAGGCCCCTTCCTAAGCCTCGGACATAGCATCTAAGAATTCTGCATAAGAAGTGGTACATGTATTCTGTATAAGAAGTCATAACCCTATGCCTCCAGGGACCTTATTATGGGGTCCTTAAGGGGTCTGACTATGAAGTCCTTGGAGGGATAGGGTAAGAAGCGGTATGTTTAGCCTTTTTAAGTACGTTGGTTGCTCTACCCAAAGGCTCCATGTGCCTATATAGTAGGTACTTAGGCCTTATAGTGCCTATATAGGGACCTCTTTAAGGCCTAAGTACCTACTATATGGGCACATGGAGCCTTAGGGCTAGGTAGGGCTCCGCGGGTTTTGGGGCTTCAAGGCGTAGCCTTGGGGCCGGAGCCTGCCAAACTAAAGGCCTTCGGGGCTTGTAGGGTTTGGGGTTCAGGGTTTTTTTTGTGGTCACTCCAGACAAAAGTGCGCTTTGGGGTTCAGGGGTTTAGGGTTTATAGGGCTTTCGGGGGTTCGTGATTTATAGGGTTTGGGTTTATGCTCAGGGTTTAGAAGTTTAGGGGTTTAGGGTGCACGGTCTTGGCCCTGGGCGCCACCGACACAAAACCTCGAACCCGGCCTTGCTGTAGGAGAAATGGATGGTTCGCCCATCCAAGTGCTGGACGGTGCGTTCGAAGCCCAGCAGAGCCTCTGAGGGGTTTGGGTTTAGGGAATGGGGGGTTTAGGGTTTACGGCCTCTGATGGGTTTAGGGGATTACAGGTTTAGGGTTTACGGCCTCTGAGCGGAGAGCAGGATCTTCCCAAGACATCTGTTTGTCAACAATACATGCCCGGCTGTAGCCTGACTCTGACAATACCATGATACAAAAATGCATAAACAGATATGTGCCTATTACGTACTTGGTTTTGACATACACACACACACACACACGAGCTCACACACACAAACATATATGTGCATATACACAACCAGAATGTGTATATATATATATATACACAACATTGAACGTGGATATATACATATATACATGTAGACATGTATATATTCATATATATATATATATATATATATATATAATATAATACACATATAAATGTGTGTAATATATATATATATATACACACACATACATATATGTATAAGAATATGTATACATACGCAACTATGAGAAAGTGCTGGCAGGATGAAGCGAGCATCTACCAGCTGCCTTGTGCGTGCTTCTCCACGGCAATAATGATGATTGCAACACAACGGCAATAGCACGCACATACAACGCCTGGAAGCCCAAGGAGCTGTCACTGTTTCAACTAACCGCTTACAGCCGGAAGCACTGTCAGCAGACACCAGCTTCCTTTCAACAGAGTGGCTAGAGTCTTTGGGATATCATTCTCGGTTCTGCCTGCGGGCCGCATATCTATCCATCTAGAACTCGTCAGCTCCTGCATTTTCTGCACCATGGCGTGCAGAACGAATCACATGTTCTGTGCACAGGCCTGCCGAATTCTGTCCTCCTGTGCAGAGTTACTCCCGGCACACTCCCATGTACAGGGTCCCCTGGAACTTTCGAAGCATGGAGGATTAATGGAAGTGTGCCACCGTGAGAAAAGAGATCCACCCCTACATCGCCTCTTGGGCACGGGTGACGCCAGACATGGGCTGACCACCCGCGCAGGCGGCTTCATGCAAAACAAATTCGCGCCCAAGAACCTACCCTAGGGATCTAAGGACTCATATATTCAGACCATACTATATAAGGCTTTTGGTCTATTTTGATCCCTAGGGCTAGATCCCTTCATCTACCCTCTGTTAGTGTTAGTCCGTGAGGGTTACTACAAGGGTCAATAATTATGAGGGTTTCTATACGGGTTACTCAAAGATACTGAAAGGGGTTATTAGTTACCCTGACTAACCTGTAGTTGCCTAGATACCTGCTATGAGGGAATGAGGGACCGTATAAAGCAATCTGAGAGTACAAGGAGAGTTCTGGAATCCTTCAGATTTCCTTTCTGTCCGCGACCGCGGCATGAAGCTACGGAACGTCCACCTTCAGCACCAAGCGGTTCCTTCGCTGCAAACCACCCGCGGCACTGAAAGCTTCAGAGGTTGAGGGCTTAGGGTTTGGGGGTTTACGGCCGGGATTAGGTTTTTTTTGCAGGGCATGTCAGAACAAAAAAACAAGAATCGGGTGTTGGACTATATCACACTATGAACATATCAGGGGCTGTAAGTAAGGAATCTCCATCTTCAAGTCTTCAGACTTCTCTCCCTATAGTCTCCATTCCAACTCCTTTTTGGAGTTACCTTATAGGATCCTACTTGTATATTTGGCTAAACCCAAAAAAGGAACTACAATGGAGACTATAGGTAGTGCATGACAAGTCCCTGAGCCGTGTCATAACTCTCAATCACGGCAATCACCACTGAGATTGTTTCGGGCCTGAGACCCTAGCACAAAACAAAGGCTAGCATACACCTCATTTTACAACTATGATACGGTAGCGACATTTTCGGGCATCTGCGTAAGTGTACGAGGTATTCAGAAGTCTATGTTAGGTTTCCTACCCAGAACCCCGAATCAAGGCCCCAAACTACAAAATCCCAGACCCCTAAACCCTACACCCCGAAACCCCCTGAAGGTCCTGAACCCAACAGGTCCTGAACCCTACTTGGAGGGTCGGGGGACTTAGTAAGTAGGTAGTAAGTAGACTTATAAGTACCCTAAAAGGGACCCTAATTGGGGTTAAGGTACTTACCGAAAATAACCAGTTACTAAGTCCCCCGACCCTCCAAGTAAACCCCCAACGAGAAAGAGGCAAGCTTCACCACCCGGCCGTCGTCGTGGCGCCGAATCTCTGGCGACTTGTGGACTAAGCCCTTCGGACCATGAGGGAACTTTTTGCCTCGGACTCGGTTCAGGAATTCAGGGAACTTCTTGCCTTAGATTGTGCTTTCATGGTTTCGGGTTTATGGTTTTAGGGTCCTTGATTGAGGGAATTTCTTGCATCAGATGCCGAAGAAACAATCTACACCATACTTCTTGCTTTCGCACTTTTTCGCAGGGTTCCGACACTGTGTATGTGTGCCTATATGTGCGCATGCAAGTATGTATGTGTCTATAGGTACAGACTACCATACCTACCAAGACCTGTGGAAACAGATGTTACGGGATGGTAAGGTAGGGGTTGAGAGTGCAGGGAATGGAGCACATATCAAGACAGGAAGCAAAAGTTTAGGGTTGGATGCAACAGGATCATCATGGAATCGTGTTCAAGAAACCTTGTGCAAATCTAAGTCGCCCTTCATGAAGAAGACATCGCCTACCCCAACAGCGCAGACTTGGGATGCATCCTTGATGATTTTGTCATTGCAGCCACAATAGTCGAGCTCCCAGAAGTTCACGATGTCATCTGGTGCATAGACGGTGCCGGCCGAGTTGTACGTAACCTGGGTTCTTGCTAAGGGATATAATTAAAGTTACCATAATAAAGAAACCTTATTGTTTACTATAGATCCCCAATATGTTAACTTTATTTAAAACCATGAACAAGAACCCAGTAACGATGGCCCTCGCGCAGTAGTTGTCGCGGTGCCACCTACTGCAGGCGCTCTCCCCCATGACTTCAAGCTTGAAAAGGTACGTGTTGCTCCAAGGACACAGATTGGTCACCACATTGCCGATGTCAAGCACATCACTGCGGATGGTGCTGCGTAGATCTTCAGGTAGTTTTACCCTCACCTGGGCTCTAAAGTGACCAGGCAAAAAAAATGGTATAGACTGTAGCTTCATAATGCTTCCCGTTAAGGTTATAAGTAACAGGTCCCCAAAACAGTATTACTTCAACGCCCCGTCACCTTATTCAAAAGTTTCTCCGCTACCTCTCCGAGGTCGGAGCCGCGCTTGAATTCAATTTTGATCTCCTCCTCCTCCCTGATGTCTCCCTGTTGGACGCCTTGATCCTAGGTTTCTGGGTAGCCACACGGTTTAGGGTTTAGGGTTTAGGGGAAAGTGTACGTTTTTCTTACTCTTCGGTTATAAATGAAGGGCAAAAAGGTACAGTACTACTCAGGAACCTAGGATCTAATGCTTCCTGAAAGTCCTTCCACCAGGGTTGTCTCTCGACAAGAAGGGCCTGGTGCTGAGCACTCTCTGACGTAAGCCAGTCTGCAAGCGTCGTTCCCACCAGCGTTGTCTGAGAAGACGCCTTGCGCGGCTCAGCCACCTTCGCTCTCTTCGGGGGGCATGCTGATGGTGTGACGGCCAGAGGAGAAAAGATGCGTGGTCCCCCATACCCTGCATAGGAGCCCGGCACATTCGTCTCGGTCACAACCTGCATATTCTTCAAGAGCCCCGAAGATGCAGCTTTGCGAAACGCAGATCGCATCCGTCAGTCTGAAACTGAGCCACAATGGCTAAGAAAAGAAAGCTCTGCAGATAGTCCGGTGATGCAACATTTAGGCTTCAAAGTTTCGGGTGTTCAGGGCTCAGGGTTTCATGCATCCGAAATCCTAACTCCCAATACTAACCCTAAGGGTCCATGTACCTAAATAGTATATACATTGGCCTTAATGTAGTCCCTATATAGGTACTTTGGGGCTCATGTATCTCTATATGGGTACATGGACCCTTCACGACAGGAAGCCGAACAAACCGAAGCGCGGGAGCCAATTCCTTCTTCGGTCATCGAGCAACTGCCTACAAGTATCCTGGGGAACTCAAGGTTCAGCTCTGGGAGTATCCTGGGTTATATATAGGATTTTTGTAGTACCCACAAAAAATCAAACTATAGTGGTAAGAACACAAAAAAATGTTAAAATGTAGGGATTAATTTAAAGTAGCCCCAAAACGATTAAAGGTTACCGAGTGCCTACTCTACACTAGTATCAAACCTCAAGCGCCCAGTAGGATGACTCTGGCTCTGCAGCTTAAAGGCTGAGTTTTCCCATCGCTGGAATCATAATATTAAACGACTGGCTTCTAAGGGGTCTGGAATTGACTCTCTATCCTCTGCAACATGCGCAAAGGCCAAGCCAAGGCCAAGGCCGTTTGCAGATTGATTCCGTAGTAACTACTCGTGTATATGCATAGGCATGTGTATATCTCTCATGCAGGCAGCCATACATGTATGCAGGAGCCATGCTGAGTTGCAGCGAGGCATATATATATATATATACTGGTATACATTAGACCCACCCTCCCCATCTGCAGCAGCCTCTTTCAGCGTGACGTTAACCTGACGAGGAGGGTCAACTGAAACACACACACACACAGACAAACGAACCAAACAAAAAAAACAAGCAAGCAAACTCTCCAGGCAGCCAGCCAGCCAGTAAGCGAACGAGCGAACACATGAAACTTGAAGAAACACACAACACAACACACAGCACGAAACAAGCAAACAAACACACACACACACACACACACCCACACACACACAAACTGTCACACACACACAAACAACCAAAACAAAAAAACGACCAGCCGGCCAATCAGCCAGTCCGCAACCAGCCAACAACCAGCCTGCCAAGACGTCAGCCGGCAAGCAGCCAAGCAGTTGATCAGCCAACCACCAAATCAACCAACCAACCAACCAGCCAGCCAGCCAGCCAGCCAGCCAGCCAGCCGGCCAGCCACCCAAATAATCAAACATACACAGATGCATGTACACATGCATCATGCTTACACTTACGGACATATATAGACAAACAGACTGACACACACACAAACACACAGAAAGACACGCAGCGCGCACCCACCAAAATTGAAAAAACACCCTAAACCCCAAACCCTTAAACCCTCAAATCCGAAAATTGCTCCGAAGTGCATCGGTGTGCAGGTCCACCCCCGCTCGCCGAAACGTCGGATGCCTCAGGGTTTAGGCTTGTCAGCTTGTCTATACCCAGAGACCCCAAAGTAGTTCTTTTTGGGATTACCTGATTCTGTATATGAACCGCAAAAAGGAACTACTTTGGGGCCTCTGGGTAGAGTGATGGGCTTGGCTTCCAGGAATGGGCTTTAGGGTTTCATTTAGGGCTTAGCGATTGGCTAAGGCCAGGGTTTGGAGGCAGCTTTCGATTGTTCCCGGTAGTGCTCAAGCTTTACGCTTGTTGACTGAGTCGTTGTATTCTCCTGAAGGCGTGTTCGCATCAATCTGGTAACAGGCTTAGGATGTGAGCCAAGCACACCGTTCGTAAAGCCCAAACCCTAAAACGTGGTTGACACATGCTTTAACAAGGTTCAGGTGCTACGATCTTAAACGCTCGACATGTGCAGCTCAATGATGGTTTCCCAAATGAGGCATTTTCCGCCGGGAGCCAGAAGGGTCTTGCAACTTCTGCCATGAACCCTTAGCTACGGCTTCCACGTTGCAGTTCAGATTGTTGGGTTGTCCATGTAGACTCTGTCTGGTTCGTAGTAGGGAATGGGGGAATGGATCATGGAGATTATGGGGACTATATAGGGACTACTGTAGGGATCCATTCCTCCCCCATTCCCCTCTGAGCACCAGACAGAGAGGTCAGGGCTTGCAGGCTTTAATGCGTGGCTGACTGGGCTTCCCGGAGGGTTCAGGGGTGTAGACTCGACACATAGTGGAGACACCAGAGCACAAAAAACACACACTTGCCGCGATCTCCAAGGCTTTCGGAGTTCCAGTTTGCATGTTTCTGGTATCTTTTCGGCGACAGTCTACAGAACCGCCAAACAGAGCAAAAACCCACGAGCCGTAGTTTCTAAACCGAGTAGAACCGCAATGCACTATGCCCGAAGCCCTGAACCGTGAAGCCCTCAAACGCAAACCTTAACGCCATAGCCAAGGAACCGAACTTCCTTCAGCTTCACGACGACATCTCCCGGGATCTTCTTTGGCTGCCTCAGTACAACCCACCCTCGGCTTAGGGTTAAGGGTTCAGGCGGTTTAGGGTTTAGGATCTATAGGCGGTTTAGGATATACCGAGATGTAGGGTGTCTCCAAACACGACAACCTTCACTCGTCCCTATGACATGACGTTCCTTCTCATCTGGGAGTTCCCGAAAACAGGAGATCCTGATATAGTACACTGAATAGTAGGATCCCCAGTATAAGGACGCCCCCAAATAAGGTACCATCTAGATGTCGTCCCTATCGGTTAAGAGTTTAGTGTCTGGTCTTCTGTTGAGGGTCGGAGGCCCAAGTCTTATTGGTCTTTAAAAACTTTAGGGTGTACGCATTTTTAGACGGAATAACAGCCTATAACTGAATTTTCGTAGGGCTATATGAGCTACAGAAGGGTACTGCATTTAGGGTTCTTGCTTCTGCTCCAAGTCAAAATGCTACTTTGCGAAGAAACTCCAAGATTTCCATCGACAAAGGCATCACTCCAAAACCCAGGAGCCTGAGCCATGTGGCAAGCAGCTGTTGCAGTCTTGTTGTGCATGTACATGTCGATTCAAAGGGGACAAGGAGGGACCCTTTATGGGGACCCCTACCCTATAATGGGCTATATGATCGGTATACAATAGCTATATTCAGGTTCTATGCCTAGGGGTCCTTACTAAGGGTCCCTCCTTTTACCCTTGGATCGATGTTAGGACTGGACCCAAACCCTACGGCTCCAACTAGTAGCTGCTTTCGGGTCTAAAACGAATGGTTTAAAAATAATTTGTGCTATGTGGAGCGCCAGGAAACTCCATAACCTGAACGCCAAGCCCTGCATGGACGTGATCATAGCCAAACACAAGGAAGAGCCTACTGTCGGGCCAGCCTATGAACCCTAAGGATCAACACAGCCCAAAAGCCTTATATAGTATGGTCTTTGGGCCCAAAAGCCTCAATGTATGAGTCCTTAGATCCCCAGGGGAAGATAATCCAGCCTAATTCCGAAGCATTTGATATATCTACGAAAAAGCCATGGAGTTTCTTAGCCAGACTACCGCATACTCAAGAAGCAACGCAGCTATAACTAAGCCACGAATACCTTACACTGGAAGCCCCAACAAAGTCTATGCCCTAGACCTTAAAACTGAAGACCCGAATCCCTAAACCCTGAATCCTGCACACTAATCCTAAATCCGAATACCCCTACACACCCTAATCCCCAAAATCCTGTGCACTAAACCCTAAACGGTGAGGTTTAACCCTTGACACGAAAATGTCAATCTTGAGGTACCCTCAAGCCTAAACCTTTAAACCCCAACCAGTTCCAGGAACTGCTCTCCCTGATGCTTGAAGATCATGGTGTCTCCGGCAGACATTCCGCGCTCGATACTGATCGCCAACCGATTCCTTGCTGTTTAAGGGTTTAGGGGTTGGAGTTTGAGGATTTTTTAGTGTTTGTGGTTGTAGGGCTTGGGGGTCGTAGGGTTTCAGGTTCACAGTAGGGTCTGGGGTTTAGGGGTTCGCGATTGGGATATAATATAAAGGCTCAAAGTTCGGGTGTTGAGGTCCAGGCGTGAGTTCTGCCGTGCATTCTTCAAGATGTTCGAAGTCATTCTCTTTGCTTTAGGCTGCCCTTAAACCCAAAGGGTCCAAAGTAACGACATAGTAGAATGTAGGGTCTATAGTAGGAATTACTATTATGAGTTGGGGAAGTATTCCCTATAACAGTACATAGGACCCTTTGGGAAATGATAAGCCGGACTTGAGAGGGTGAAAGGCTGCCCTTGATTAAAGCTGCGCAGAGATGATCGAAACGGCGTTTTCACATGGACGACTATATCAACATCCGCTCGTCCTTGACACCAAGAATACTCATATTTGTTACTATGAGAACTGGCATCAAATCATCATGCACATTGAGCATCACTGTTCTTGATCAGACATCCCTGCTGTGGTGGAGAGCCATGCTACTACATTCAGTCATACTACGACTGCACGAGGTATTGCTGATCATGCTCCTCTGCTACCGTGCCTATCCAGCCCAGCTGGTGATGCATCCGACGTCGTCGCCCCATCCGATGACCCAGGCGCATGATGAAATTCTGAAGGCCAAGACGGATGTAAACAGGCATCCTACAATTTCCCTAAGGGTCCATGTACTCATGTAGTATATACATTGGCCTTAATGTAGTCCCTATTTAGGTACTTTGGGGCCCATGTATCTCTATATAGGTACACGGACCCTTAGGGAATCATCGGACAACACCTGAAGCTCTCCCCAGACCCCATAACCCTTTTTTTGGTGTAAGCAATTTTACATTAAGGATCCCAAAAGGTAACCCCAAAAAGGAACTACAATGGAGACTATAGGTACCGTTCAAACTACCCTTTTCGAGCCCTTTTAGGACCCCTTACGCTAACCCTCCTTGTAGAGCCTTCAAGGAACCATGGTTGCATCCCGGAAGCTGCTGAACGCGGCACTTCTCCTTGGAAGGGACCTGAACCTGCTGCTGCATCACCTGAAAAAA